GTCTTTTTTAAGACTCATCGTGTTTCCACCGTTGTTGCCGATATTATATTTGAATTGGAAACCCTTTTTGTTTCTTCGCCATTGATGTCTTTGGTTTTTGAACCCAAGATGCTACTGCCTTCGGCATTGTAATCATCTTCTTTATGGTTGACTTTTGGCTCCAATAAAATACCAGTAGTCTTATTTAAATAAAATTATTAAACTACGGCACTTATAATTTTTTTTTAATACAATTACGATACTTTTAAAAGAGTAAGGTGTTGACAATTAAGTAATTAAGTATCAAAATACCATTGTTGTAGTAATTATTTTTACCACTTTTATTACTTCAATGCATCATCTTGCATTTCCATGCACACGTTTTGATCTCTTAATATTGATATGATGGTCATTTCGTGTATATTTCCTCCCAAGTTGTTTATTAAAGGGGAGTTCTTTGTTTGTTTTTTTTAAATTTTCCACAAGATAAAAATTTTCATGTCATTTCAACCAACATAATCTGACAAGCATTTTATTTTTCAGTTCAAGTTGAATACTCCATATTTTAATGCTCAACTTAAGAGTGTTGAAGATAAAATTTCATGATTGATGAGGTCAACAAAATTAATTTTAAATTACTATTTACCTCAGCTGTGAGATTTAATTTAATCTTCATCTTATATATAGGATGTAGATCATGTGGCTTGACAACCAACATTGAATGAGAATATTTAAGTTATTAGGTTTTGGTTCGTGAATATAGGTCTTATAAACCGAACCACGTAAATTTGTTCACATTGGTTCTTTGACTAATTTAATTTTATCGGAGATCATTTAAACCAAAATCAATAGTTCAAATTAATTTCTGGCACATAGTCTTATTTCAAAACATTAAGAGGATTTAGGTGATTAATTTTTTAGATGGAATTAGATAAGTAAGGTGTATTTCTCTGGCCTCTAATGATTAATTGTTGGGTGAGACTATTATCACTCTTTAAATATTCGTCTTCATCTCATTTAATTATCTCATTTTTAACTATTTAGTTCATCCATTCATATACATTTCAATGACTAAGTTCACCCCATTTATATCTATCTAATTAAACTATTAAATATATTTCTCAAGAATATCGAAACTAAATAGTAATTGAAGCAAAATTTTGATGTTCCGAGGTCTAGAATATTTTAATGGGATGCCTTGAAGTACAATATACCGTTAGCCTAATGTCACCGCTTAATTTACTATCCATTTTCTCTTTCTTAATGGACCGTCNCAATCGATTCGTCTTTTTTAAGACTCATCGTGTTTCCACCGTTGTTGCCGATATTATATTTGAATTGGAAACCTTTTTTGTTTCTTCGCCATTGTTGTCTTTGGTTTTTGAACCCAAGATGCTACTGCCTTCGGCATTGTAATCATCTTCTTTATGGTTGACTTTTGACTCCAATAAAATACCAGTAGTCTTATTTAAATAAAATTATTAAACTACGGCACTTATAATTTTTTTTTAATACAATTACGATACTTTTAAAAGAGTAAGGTGTTGANGGATGAGGGGTGGTTACTACAGAAAGAAAGAGGAGAGGAAAGAGAGGGTAAACTAAAATGGGGTGTGTTGGGTCAAGAAGTGAAGAGGCTAGGCTACATAGCTGGGCCTATGGTTACTGTCAGTTTATCACAGTATCTGTTGCAAGNACAATTAAGTAATTAAGTATCAAAATACCATTGTTGTAGTAATTATTTTTACCACTTTTATTACTTCAATGCATCATCTTGCATTTCCATGCACACGTTTTGATCTCTTAATATTGATATGATGGTCATTTCGTGTATATTTCCTCCCAAGTTGTTTATTAAAGGGGAGTTCTTTGTTTGTTTTTTTTAAATTTTCCACAAGATAAAAATTTTCATGTCATTTCAACCAACATAATCTGACAAGCATTTTATTTTTCAGTTCAAGTTGAATACTCCATATTTTAATGCTCAACTTAAGAGTGTTGAAGATAAAATTTCATGATTGATGAGGTCAACAAAATTAATTTTAAATTACTATTTACCTCAGCTGTGAGATTTAATTTAATCTTCATCTTATATATAGGATGTAGATCATGTGGCTTGACAACCAACNTATATATATATATGACTCTTAAAATATTTGGTGCAACAATCAAAATTTTGTTTCGAAATATTTAAAACTTTTTAATTTTTAAGGAGAACGAAGTGAATCAGTGATAAAATTAAAATTCTAATATTTCAAGATATTTCAGAATGTTTAAAGATGTTTTATAATATTTCAATGCATTTACACAAGTATTTTGGACTCTTTCAAAGTATTTCAAAATACTTTGATATATTTCGACTAATATTTTGAAAAAATAATTCTTAAATTTTTTACTTTTTTATTATATTTCTGAAACAGATCAAAATATTTTCTAAAATACATCAAAATATTTCTATTTCGTAAGTGATTGAAATAATACACTAAAATGAAATTTTAATCATTGATCTAGTGTGCAATTCCAAAGCTGACCTTGAGAGGTAACAGATTTTTTAGACTTTAAAAGGAAAAAAAATATAAGAGATTAACTTCATATAACTTGGAGATGCTTCATTTGATACACATTTGATAAGGCAGATTTCAAAGATATTGTGTATGAAACCCATTTTCAAAAGGTAGGTCATAGCCAGAGAGGTTTTTTTTTTTTTCAATAGTCAAGAGTTTCGGACTACCTTACACACATTTTTATTAATCTTTTTTCCGTTCGGTCAAAGACAAGTCATCTATACCGAAACTAAAGTATTCATGAACGATAAATTCCTTATGACTTGATCCAAAAAAAATTACTAAAATTTAAAATAAAAAATTTTGAATTTATAACTCATCTGTCACTATTTACACAACTTTTCCCTTATTTAGGTGTCTCTTTGACAAAAGTTGAGACTTGAGATCATTCAACGCCTTGGTGGGTAGAGCACGGACAAACTTTCAACAGTATTATATTAATTGTGAGTTCGAATTTGAGGAGAAACTCCAAACTATCATTAATCCAAGCATCTTTTATTAAAGCTTAATGGGTATTAAATGTTTTTTGTTCTCGATGCCCTTTTTGACATAGTCAAGATACATTGGAAGCCCCACTGCACATGGAATTTACATGTAACAGTATATCAAGATTTCTTCACTCATAAATCTACGTCAGCATCACTCATCTTAATTGCTTGTGAATAGAATCGACGTCTCTGTATGGAATATTGTATCAGATCTAATTTTTATCGCATACTTGAGGGGATGCATTCGATATGTATGATACGTATCCGATAATTAATTAAATATATGAATATTTTTTTTGATATTTTTACACATGGAGCAAGATGTATAATTTTTAATTTTAAACTATAATTTTCTTTTCTAGTTTAAATACAATATAAGACATTAACAAAAGTTTATTTGACTTTGAAACACTAATATTTTTTTTTTAAGTAATATCTACTAGGGATGTAATTTGGGCAGGGCAATCCGAACTCAACCCGAGAAAAATAGGGGTTTAGTTGAGATTTTTAATATTTGGATTAGGCCTAGGTAGAAAAATATTAACCCGAATTGAAATTGAACAGTACCTATGTTGAGACCTCGGGTTTTCGGGCACAACTCGAATATATAAATGGGCTCAACTAGAATTCTATATAAATCGAGCTCAATTTGAACATATTTAAAAATAAATATATAAATCAATATAGCAATGTAATTTGCAAGTTAAAACACTAGATATCAGTCTTCTGGTTCAGTCTTATGTTAAATATTTGACTGTTATGTCTTTATGTCAAACATTAATTTTATGCTTTAAATATTATTGTCTTTATGTTAAACATTTGATTGAAGTTGTTGGTTATTAGTATAGGTGAATACTATGTAATATGTATCAAGTTTAAAACAACAAGTTGATTTCGAGCTTGAATGAATCCAACTCCAATTCTAACCATAAATTAGCTCAAATTATGTAACTAAAACCCAACCCAAATTTTAAATCGAAATATATCCGAATTACATAACCCGAATTCAACCCAAATCTGTCCAAATTAAACTTGGACAATACTCAGGTTGAGGTTGGGTTAAGATTGAGATTAGGATTGAAAATTATACACTTAGACTTGAGATAGGGTTGACCCCTCAACCTGCCCAAGCTACTCGAGTTGCACCTCAATTATCTACTATAACATGTCAAAAAAGTATAACAAAATGAGTTAGTTACATTATAACCTTTGAAACAAATACTTATAAGTAAACAAATTAATTAAATATTAATTTTAATTCTTTTAAATGCTCACGTTCACTATGTGGATATATCCTAATAAAATGATATTATACACTTTCACGTTCACTGCGTACTTCCTAGCTTCTGATAGTGGACAACTTAACTTAGTTAATTTAATCGAAATTTAGAAATACTTTTATGAGTTTTTCTCGACACAGCAGAGTGTTACTTGCTAGATTTTTAACCTGCCGAACAGATGGGAATGGCTGGTGCACTGGAAACTCTATGTGGGCAAGCTTATGGAGCTCAGCAATACAAAAAACTTGGAACTCAGACTTACACAGCTATTTTCTCTCTCATCACTGTTTGTATTCCTCTCTCTATCTTATGGATATATATGGGTGAAATACTCATTTTCATAGGCCAAGACCCTTCNCGCTGTTTGTATTCCTCTGTCTATCTTATGGATATATATGGGTGAAATACTCATTTTCATAGGCCAAGACCCTTCGACTTCACATGAAGCTGGAAAATTCACAATGTTTCTTGTTCCAGCTCTATTTGCTTATGCAACTCTTCAACCACTTCTTAGATATTTTCAAATGCAAAGTATGGTCCTCCCCATGGTCGTATGCTCATGTGCCACTCTTTGTATACACGTACCTCTTTGTTGGGTGCTAGTGTTTAAGTCTGGGTTAAAGAACCTTGGAGGAGCACTAGCTATTGATATTTCACTGTGGTTGAATGTGATTATCATTGGTCTATACATGAAGTACTCTTCCACCTGTGAAAAAACCCGTGTCCCAATTTCAATGGATGTGTTCCTAGAAATTGGAGAGTTCTTCCGTTTTGCCATCCCCTCTGCTATAATGGTTTGGTAATCTCCTTCTCTCCCTCTCAATAGATTATGTGGGTGTGATTTGGATTTGGAAGGCGTTTTTGCTGACGTGGTGTTATTGCTTACTTGTTTCAGTCTTGAATGGTGGTCATATGATCTACTTATCTTGCTGTCAGGACTTTTACCAAATCCACAGCTTGAGACTTCAGTACTGTCTGTATGGTATGTTCTATCAGCATCTGAAACTTTCTACAACTTGGTTATCTGAAGTCTTAATTATAACTTGGAGATTTTTATTTTGGGATTATATTATATTAATTTCAATTTCTTCGGCACTTTGAAAACAGCCTCAATACCATTATTACACTGTATTGTATACCATATGGACTTGGTGCTGCTGTAAGGTTTGCCCAAAACTCACTGAATTTTGCTTGTACATGTGCACTGCAACATAAGATGTCTGTGGGCATAGCCTTTCCTATAGCGTATTAATGCTTTTACATTTCAGCACTCGAGTTTCGAATGAATTAGGAGCTGGGAATCCACGACGAGCTCGCGTAGCTGTCTTTGCTGTGATGCTCCTTGCTGTCATAGAAACCACAATTGTAAGTGCAACCCTCTTTGCCAGCCGTCATGCTTTCGGCTACGCATTCAGCAATGAAAAGGAAGTTGTGGACTATGTCACAGCCATGGCTCCTCTGGTTTGTGTAAATGTTATAGTGGATAGTATACAAGGAGTGTTTTCAGGTTAGATTTTAGCCCCATCATGCTCCTATATATCTTGAGAAAAATTTATTTCTCTCTTACTTAACCTTTTTTCTGGGTCAGGAGTTGCAAGGGGGTGTGGGTGGCAGCATATAGGAGCTTATGTCAATCTTGCAGCATTTTACCTCTTTGGAATTCCTATTGCTGCCACCTTGGGTTTCTGGGTGCAGTTACGGGGAAAAGGTCTTTGGATCGGAATCCAAGCTGGTGCTATTCTACAAACAATTATGCTCTCTATAATAACAAGTTGCACAGATTGGGAAAAGCAGGTTTAACCTCCTTCCTTTTATCATTTTAAAGTTATTTATTGCTCTAACATGAAATTCAATTTGCTTCCCTCAATTCTGAGAAAATAAAATTAAACATGATTCAAGGTCGTAGTATCGGTTATCGACTTGGAGAGCTCTAAGACATATCGGTTTATACGAACTAAAAAAATTATTGAAAATGACGAAAGATTCTGGTCATACCGCGGCATCGTAAAATCATATTAGCCGATTCAGTACAGATAACTCGGTGATTCGAAGTTATCTCGGGTACAATTTGAACAAGTTGTGCGAGACTTAGAGTTTATATGTATCGTGTAACGGTATCGTCTCAAAAGGTACAGAATCGAATACAACCCAACCAACTCNAACTAAAAAAATTATTGAAAATGACGAAAGATTCTGGTCATACCGCGGCATCGTAAAATCATATTGGCCGATTCAGTACAGATAACTCGGTGATTCGAAGTTATCTCGGGTACAATTTGAACAAGTTGTGCGAGACTTAGATTTTATATGCATCGTGTAACGGTATCGTCTCAAAAGGTACAGAATCGAATACAACCCAACCAACTCTTATCGGTATCGGCCGATATTTTGAAACATGTGATGAAAGAAGAGAAAAGTTGGAGTCTTCCGGTGTACAAATGCAGCTCCAACCATATCAGCCTTAATGAGGTGAAGGATTTCCTTTGGTGGGCAATCCAGCTTAACAAACTTATCAATTTGTCGTTCCCCCAGATATACCAAACCATCAGCACAAAAATTCTCCTCACGCAACGTGTGCTTCATTGAGCTTTCAGATTCCTTAAGAAGTTTGACGCAGTTGGCAACAAGTAGATTAGAAATCTAGCCAACCTCCACTGGTTGAGAAATCAGCAGAAAAGTTTCCTTGGAGTTAGTCTCCACTTCCACCTTCCTTAGCCCCTGCTCTCTGATAAGTTCTAACCCTTTCAGCAAAGCTCACAGCTCCGCCTTAATACTTGAGGTGTGGTTGAGCTTCCCATAGTAACCCATAACCCAAAAGCTTCGATCATCTTTTATAAGTACTCCCATCCCAGCCGAGCCTGGATTCCCTTTGGAACATCCATCTGTATTCAGTTTAAGCCTCCCTGCAATAGGGAAAGACATCCCAATTAGTTTTGGCTCTCTATTGAAACTCTGGGGCTTATCTATTTGGAATGCATTGGTGACTTCACAGGCCAGGTCCCAATAATTCTTAATAACAGTGTGTGTTTCAGTAACCACTTGCTCAATACATTCTTTGTTTCTGGCTTTCCAGATCCACCACAAAGTATAGAAGAACATTATGGGCCATTCCATATTACTCCATTTCCTCATTTTTCTTACCCTGGCATTCATTTGGATCCAATCAAGGAGATTCAGATTTTGGTCTGAATTCCTATCCTGAGTTCCAAGGAGAAGGCCCCCGTTAGGCCTCATCTTGAGGCAGTCTCTAAGAATGTGGAGTGTCGTTTCCAAAGGGGATTTACATTTAGTGCATTGCCCATTGGGCACCAATTTCCTTATAACTCTCAAGTGGTTAGATAAAATTCTGTCACTTTGAACTAGCTAATGGAAGCATTTGATTTTTTGAGAAATTTTCAGTTTCCAAATCCACTACCAATAAGGAACTTGAAGAGAAGAATTCCCTTCTTGAGTTAGTAAAACATAAGAAAATTTGGTAGAAAAGTTACCATTACATGTCATACCACAAGAAGGGGAATCCTCTCTAGTCAGGGTATCAGGTAATATGGTATAAACTCAGAGACTATGCTTTCTAGATTAGTTGATTATGGTACCTGTATCCTCTCTATTAAAGGCCTATCTCCTAACCATCAGTCAGTCAAAAAATTAATTTTTCTACAATTCCCAAGAGTCCATTTTAAACCTTTTTCTAACACCTCCTGAGTTTTAATAATACCTCTCCAGATAGGAAAAACATTACCTTTTAGTTGCCAGGACTCTTGATGTTCTCTTATAAATTTGTTCTTGATAACATCCACGCATAGGGACCTATGATCAGTCTTGACTTTGCATCCTAATTTAGTTAAGAGGGCTAAATTTTTTTCTCTACTTTTCCTCAAACCTAGACCCATTAGCCTCTTAGTTGTACAAACTTTGTCCCAATTAACCAAATGGACTCTCTTTCTCTGTTCCAAATCTCCCCACAAGAACTCAATATTAAGTCTATCTATTACAAGTGCTCTGTGGAAACCAGTTGGACTGCATGATATAGTTTGGGAGGGTTGAGGACAAAACCTATATCAGAGTGGTTCTTCCAGCCAGAGACATGGATTTAGCCTTCCAACCATTCAGTCTACTTTGAACTCTTTCAATAATATAATTATAATGGACTCTAGAATTTCTATTATGGACTATGAGGATCCCAAGATATTTTCCCAAATCCTCAGTAAGGGCAAACCAAAGTGTCCTACTAATTGTTCTGGCTTGGGCTCTACCAATATTAGGGGGCACATAAACTTTTGATTTATTAAGGCTAACTTTAAGACCTGACATGCTGTAGAAACTGGAAAGAACTTCATTAATCATCTCACAGTCAATCTCAGAAGGTCTAGAAAATAAGATAATATCATCAGCAAACATAAGATGAGATATCTCAGGGCCATTTCTGGAAGCTTTAGACTCTATCTAGTGGCCTTGAGATATCTTATAGTTAAATTAACTGTCCTAAATTTTTCATACAAAGAACAAACAGATAAGAAGAGAGAGTGGCTCCCTATCTTAGGCCCCTCTTAGGAAATATGGGATCCAAAGAGGACCCATTGCATAGAATAGCCAAAGATGATCCTATAACGCAACTCATAATGACTTTAATCCATGATTGGGGAAAATTAAAATCCTTAGAAGTTTGATTTAAAAAGGGCCAACTAATCCTATCATAGGCCTTTCAAGGTCAATTTTAAGGATCATTTCTCCTCTTTTACCTTTCTTTCTCCTCATAGAGGAAGCCATTTCTTGAGTAATTACAACATTATCCAAAGTTTGTCTTCCTAGAATAAAACTACTCTAGTTAGCGCTTACAAGATCATTAAAGAAGGGTTTAATTCTGTTAACCAATAACTTAGTCTGAATTTTACAACTGAAATTGCATAGACTGATTGGCCTAAATTGAGAAACCTGAGTAGGATTTTCAATATTTCGAATTAGAGTGATCCAAGTGAAGTCAAGGTTTTTAGGAAATACCCTTTTTACCAAAAGAATCTTTAATTAGAATATACAAGAAGGGGCCAACTACGTCTTTGTATTTCTGATAAAAATAAGCCTGAAGTCCATCGGGACCAGGTGCTTTAAAAGCTTTTGTCATGAAAACTATTTTCCTAATTTCAACATCTGACAGAGGAAGCTCCATTAAGCTCCTCTAGTGATTGTTGAGTGAGGCTAGATTTACCTGATTAATTGTAGCAGTTTGAGACACATTCTCTTCCTCAAATTTCCATGAAGTATCTAAGGACCTCACTAGAGATCTCAAACTGGTCAGTCATCCAAACTCCATGAGAATTTTTAAGTGTGTGAGGTATGTTTCTCTTCCTCCTAATAATGGTTGACATATGAATTTTTTTTGTATTTTTATCACCCAAGGATAACCACTTAGATCTAGACTTTTGGTACCAAAAAATTTCCTATTGTTCAAGAACCTGTTGGTACTCTTTAAGGAGAATCCCTTCTAACAATTCCAGATCATGTGAGAACTTTCTTTCTTGGGGTTTTTGAAGGCCTTCAATTCTAGATCTAAGTCTTCTCTTCCTATTAAAAATGTTACCATAGGAGTTATTATTCCAGTCTTTAGCATTTTTAGCCAAAGCCCCAATGGCCTCATGAAAGGAATTTACTCGACTCCCAGGAATGTGACACAATCTCTTTAAATTCATCATTAGTAGTCCAGGCTACTTCTAATCTAAATGGTCTTAGAGATGAGAGGGATGGAGATGTACTTTCTAGCAAGATGAGCAAAAGGTCATGATCAAAGTGGATTCTTGGTAGATTCCTAACACAAGCTTCTGGGAACTGCATTCGCCACTAGGAATTAGCTAAGGTTCTATCCAAATGGATAACTGTATTGGTCAGTCCCTTCCGCTTGTTAGTCCATGCTAGTCTTGGCCCACTACATCTGAGATCAATGAGCCTTACTGGCGTCATCCAAAGCCCTTCCTCTCCTTTCATTGTTACTGGCAAAGTCATTCAAGTCACTAGCCACCGTCTAAGAGTTCCCAAAATTTCCCCCTTATTCCTTAAATTATCCCATAGTGAGTCTCTGTTGGATGAATTAAGGCTCCCATAAATGGCAAAAAACAACCAATCTTCAAAGCCAACTCTTGAAATAACTGCGTGGATAACTTGGAAGTTTAGCTCATTTATGTTGACTCACATTACATTGATTCCAGAGCAACCAAATCCTACCTAAACTTCCTTCAACTTCCACTCTCGCAACCCTCACCAGCTCAAATTCCTCAAAAAAGTTACCCAACTGGGCACTATTGACTCTTGTTTCCATTAGAACTACAAAATCTGGCATGTGGGTTTGAAATAAGTCTCTAAACGCACTCTTGAAGCGTTGGTTACCTTAGTAGAAACCTTTGAGCAAGGTTTCTACTTTCCTCAAGAGGTGGCATAACCACTATTGCAATTGCGTTGGCATGGGCTTCTGCTACGGCGAGATAGCAACCCTTTATCACAATCCTGATCTTTCTAACCACGTA